GTCTATCCATCACTAAGCAATGTGGTCATGTGACATTACACTTCATGACTGCATTGTTTAGTGACAGAAATTCTGGTCCCAAATGCTGTTGTAACTCATGGATTACATGTTAGATATTCTATTCCTTTAGAAGTTCTAAGAACAAATGTTGAGATTGTCTTGTCATCATAACTGGATTAAGGGCTTAATTTTTTATGGACAGAATGAATAATTAAAATTGTTACAGTGTTAAAATTGCCCATTTTTGCCTGGAAATTATAATTATTTTTATATATTCAGAATTTAAATTTGGGTTGTATAGTGGCATTATAATAACAACTGAAACACATCGATACATACTAAAAGTACTTCCAGATTTTTGCCATTGTTTAATATAACATTTCAAAAACTGAAATGTAATCCAGGTGTTAAAAGACATCTTGGAATGATAAGAAGCAATCTGTGGAACATGGGAATTTAAAGATTGCCTCATCCTTGACTAACGTAGAGCTTCCCAACATGTTAATATTTCTACATATGGCTGCATCTAATATACAAGGATGTTTAGATTCCAGATGAGTTCTTCCAGTAAAAGAAGGTAGTAAGATAAATACAATTAAACAGTGTAGGAAGTTAGCACCCACCCCTCTCCTAGAAAAATGAAATATTCTAGGAAATATTAAAAAGGCACAATACTATATCTCCCTAGATGAGAAATGGGGAAACATGATTTTTAGGCAGGAAGCAGACTCACTCTTAATAGATCCCACACTCTCAATAGCCCACAGCAGATGTCAGCACTTAAGAGATAAAGAGATAGCTAGGTCTACTCATAAGCAAATGCCCTCACCCAAGATCCAACAAAGATAGGATTAGTCGTCTAACCCATCTAGCAACAGAACTCACTACATGGCACCTGGGGAGATTGCATCACCCAGCAAGGCTCAACCAAGCCTGGGACTCAAAAGATAACCTACAAAGTTACCCCTGTATGGCCCGATGGGAATCTGACAACCAATCAGAATACAAGTTTTTATTTTATTTTATTTTATTTTAATTTGATTTATATGCCGCCCTTCTCCAGAGACTCAGGGTGACTTACAGTGCGTTAAGCAATAGCCTTCATACTTTTGTATATTTTATAAGTCAGCTTATTGCCCCCACAAACTGGGTCCTCAATTTACCTACCTTAGAAAGGATGGAAGGCTGAGTCAACCTTGAGCCTGGCAAGATTCGAACTTACTTTAATTGCAGACAGCTGGTGTTAAATTACAGTGCCTTGTTTGCAGAGCTATCCAGGCTCCAACTATTCAAAGCCCAACAGAGGGTATTAATCTCTCTCTCTCTCCCTCCCTCCCTCCCTCCCTCTCTCTCTTTCTGTGGTCCTGTTCACCATTAAACCATGTGCATTTTCAAGCACTCTTCATGTTTCCAGTGTCTTTCTCCCTGCTTGGAACTGAACCCAGATGGACATTTCTTCCAACAACAGGAAGGAGCTTCTCAACATATTCAGAATTTTTGAGAGTATACTTTTCAGAATCTATTTAAAGTCTCAGATTAACAAAACAAAATACAGAATTTAAAGTACAGAAATAGCAATAAAACACAAATATAAAATTTAAAATACACAACAACAATAACAGCAAAAGCTCTGAAACAATTGATAATGAGAATAAGGTATCAGCCAGCTTCTGCAGGCCATAGTTATTGCATGAATCTTTGTAATGGTTGTCCGAGTTAAGTTTTACAGAAGAAAGATTGTAATTTCTTGATTAAAATAAAACATTAAGGTTTAGATAACTGGGTCTGTGAATACCAGGCACCATGGGTAGTACAATGGGGAATGTAGTAATACGTGGGTTACCAACTACCTCTGTATCTGAGCAAAAACAACACTGTTGTGGTGTGGGAGACAAGTAGATTTGCTCATCACAATAGATACTGCATCAGTTCAAGTCAAGGTAAAAAAACCTCCTGGGTGAGTAATTCATAAGTTACAGATAATTCTAGTTTAGAAGCCATTCAGTCTAAGTTTTGAAAGCTACACTCTATGTCTCACATTCAACTTCAAATGCTTTTGCTTGGCTAATGATTGGATGCATTTCTCTTGGGGTCTGTCTGAGATTTTGCTACTTCAGGTTTTGGCTGAAACAAATAATTCAAGGTATGTTTCTGATCTACCTCACTGCATTAGATAGGGTTTTTCTCATCCCTGAGGAAGCAAAATGATTCTGATCTAGCATATTTAGGGTGTTTAGGGTGACCCGCTCCCTACTTCAGGTGGGGGTACGGGAAGATCCCTTACAGGGTCGAGCTGAGGATTTTGTACAATTCCTGCATGATAAAGTCGCTCAGATTCGGGAAGGCCTGGACTCCGATTGGGTAGATCCAGGGGAGGAGACAGGGGTAGGTCTTGAGAGCGTTATCTGGGAAGAGTTTGACTCTGTGGCTCCTGAGGACGTAGACAGGATTCTGGGCAAGCTTAACGCTGCCACATGTTTATTGGACCCGTGTCCCTCCTGGTTGGTACTGGCTTCCCGGGAGGTTACACGAGGCTGGCTCCAGGGGATTATAAATGCTTCTCTGAGTGAGGGTGTCTTTCCCGCCGCCTTGAAAGAGGCGGTTGTGAAGCCCCTCCTCAAGAAGCCTTCCCTGGACCCGGCTATATTATCAAATTATCGTCCAGTCTCCAATCTTTGCTTTGTTGCGAAGGTTGTTGAGAGTGTGGTGGCACGACAACTACCCTGATACCTGGATGAAGTTGTCTATCTGGATCCGTTCCAGTCAGGCTTCAGGTCACGATACAGCATGGAAACGGCATTGGTCGCGTTGGTTGATGATCTCTGGAGGGCTCGGGACAGAGGTTGCTCCTCTATCCTGGTCCTATTAGATCTCTCAGCGGCTTTTGATACCATCAGCCATGGTATCTTACTGCACCAGCTGGAGGGGTTAGGAATAGGGGGCACCATGCTTCGGTGGTTCTCCTCCTTCTTCTCTGACCGCTCGCAGTTTGTGTTGGCAGGGGGGCAGAGGTCAACCTCGAGGCACCTTATTTGTGGGGTGCCACAAGGGTCAGTCATCTCACCCCTTCTGTTCAACATTTATGTAAAACCGCTAGGCGAGATCATCTGTGGTTTCGGGGTGAGTGTTCATCAGTATGCTGATGACACACAGCTATACATCTCCACCCCAGACCACCCCAATGATGCCCTTGCTGTGATGTCCCGTTGCCTGGAGGCCGTGCGGATCTGGATGGGGAGAAACAAGCTCAGACTCAACTCCTCCAAGACCGAGTGGCTGTGGCTTCCGGCATCCCGGTATAGTCAGCTGGTACCATCACTGACAATTGGGGATGAGATCTTGCTCCCCACAGAGAGGGCCCGCAACTTGTGTGTCCTCCTGGATTCATGGCTATCTTTAGAAGATCATTTGACGGTCATGGCCAGGGATGCCTTTTATCAGGTTGCGTCCCTTTCTGGATCGGGATGCCTTGCGCACGGTCACTCATGCCCTAGTCACCTCCCGTATGGACTACTGTAATGCTCTCTACATGGGGCTCCCCTTGAAAAGCACCCGGAGGCTCCAACTGGTCCAGAATGTAGCCGCGCGGGTGATTATGGGCGCAGCTCATTGCGCCCATGTAACACCTCTCCTACACAAGCTGCACTGGCTCCCGGTGGTCTTCCGGGTGCGATTCAAGGTGTTAATTATCACCTTTAAAATGCTCCATGGCTTAGGACCTGGGTACCTACGAGACCGTCTTTTGCCACCAATAGCCTCCCACCGACCAGTTCGTTCTCACAGGGAGAAACTACTCAGGGTACCGTCAGTCAAATTATGCTGACTGGCGACTCCCAGGGGGAGGGCCTTCTCTGTGAGGGCTCCAACCCTTTGGAATGAACTGCCCCTTGAGATACGAAATATCCCTGATCTCCTTGCTTTCCGCTGTGCTTTCAAAACCCTGATGTTCCAATAGGCGGGGCTAAACATATGAACATGTGAATGTTTTTAAAATGTTATCTAATTTTAGGTTCTATTTAATTGGGCCAAACTATGTTATAATAATAATTTTAATTAGCAATTTTATGATGTTTGTGTATCTATATTTTTCTTGACTGTACACCGCCTTGAGTCCTACGGGAGAAAGGCGGTATAGAAATATAATAAATAAATAAATAAATATTGAATGAGTGAATGGGTTTTAATTGTTTTTAATGATTTAACTTTTAATGTTTTATATATGGTTTTTAAATGCATTATAAACCGCCTTGAGTCTTCGGAGAAAGGCGGCATACAAGTTGAACAAACAAACAAACAAACAAAGAAACAAACAAACAAATAAATATTGCGGCATCTCACTTTCAGGAGACAGTATTGTCTCCTGGCCGAGACCAAGTCTTGACTTAACACCAAGAGAAGATCTGGGATTCATCCCTATTATGATGCAGCTGCAGGTTTTCTATGGACCAATCCCAGAATGTATTTAATATGTAGTATGGGGTACACAATTCTAACACCAAAATTGTGAGCACTCTTGGATAGTAATAAATTTGTGATGACTGACATTACCAGATGGCACTTCAAAATTCCAAGAAAAGGGCAAACATAAATATAATTTTCACTTATACTTTATGGAAAACAAAAATGAAACCTTTTAAGGAAAATATAATGTTAGTTAGTTCTCCAAATGTGACCTTTGTCATGCAGTTCTTATACGTTATTTGATGCAAGTAACCTGAAATTTTGACTGTAAAACCTATCATATTTAAGACAGTTTTAGTTCTTATGCAAAAGGTCTTATTAAAATGTCAGCTTCCCAAGAATGCTATTCTTAGAATAATGTATACTTTCAAAATAAACTCATTGGTTTTAAAACTATTTTTCAAATTAAAACTATTAATTTGAATTAATATTGCAATTTCATATTTAACTTGGCTGCAATAATTTCTTAAGTTATGGATAATGGAATTTTAAAATAAAGGTGTTTCACTGAGAAAAAAAATAACCCTGCTGTAACTTACGTGGACACTTTTTGACACAAAAAGCACCGTAAGTATATTTGCCATCTCGATTGGTTTCCATCTGGAATGTAGCAGGATTGTAGACTGAAGTCTGTGGGCATTGGGTGACACAGGCACCACTGTCATTAAAGTTCATACAAGCCTGGAAGTGAAGAAATAGCAGTGTTCTCAGAGTTTTCATTGGCATTTATTGAACTGACATTATGTTAAGTAAAATCTGACTACAACTGTAGGAATATCTGGCAATATATTAGGAATATATTGTTTGGCTATTAGCAACTCTAGATAGAATTTATAAAGAAGGCAATGAAGAGAGCAACTTAATATGTAAAAGGTAAATGTCAATCATGTTTAGATGGACATTGGCTGAACACTGGACAAAAGCAAAAAAATGTTATGATGAAAGGCATCTTAAATTAGCAAGACTAAATGTCAAACTGATGAAGAAAGGCACAAAAAAGCTGGAAACCTATTTACATTCAGTTTAATTTCATTTCTCACTGTTCTTTGTGAGAACTCTTTGTGAGTAAATCTCTGAAACAGTAAAGCTGCAGAGATACACACTTCTTTGCTTTGAAGAGTGCTCACATAAACAAATACTTACCAGCACAGAGAGAAAGACAGATGAGTGTCTTATCTAGCAATTTTCACAGTAGACTATTATAGGTTAAAGAAAACAGTCTATGTTAGAACATCTCTTAATTCATTGTGTTGAAATATTGTTAATTATTCACTGATTTCTTTCTACTAATTCCATTTTTATCTATTATTGTCTTCCCAGACAATAATGGATGAATTTGTCATTGCAACAAATTGCACAGTAACTGCATAACGAAAAACTTTTTAAAAAAGTTTATGGCTACAAAACCTTGTTGAACCTGTATCTGACAGCCCCTTCAGCTGAATTGCAGATAAAGGATCGGAGCAACCGTTTAGGATCTATCTTTTGCCTGTTTTCAAGTGCTGTTTAGTTTCCAGGCCACAGAGCCACAAAAAAGCCATATTGAATAGGGTGGCTTCAATTTAATTGTAGATTAATCTGCCTGTTCTGGATTGAAGAAGAAAGTCAGCTTGTTCATTCAGATCCCTGAATGTTCAAGCATAAGGGTGGGCTGTATAGGTCAAACCCAGTGAAAATACAATGCCTATAACTGGATTTATCCTGGCCTGAAAAAAAAATAGATACATTTGCAAAGGCAGGATCTGGTAACTATCACTGGGAGAAGGTTAAGGTGCCACCAAATAGTTTTACAGACCTAACAATGTTAAATTAGTTCCTGAAAGCTACTTTTCTTCTGAAGAAAACATGCACACATTTACACTTTACATTTACAGTTGATAAACTGCCATTTTGCCCCTATTATGTTTTCACCACAAGGTTTTCGCCTTTAAGGACAGCTTTAAAATAAACACATGCTGGTCAAAGGAAGAGAATTGTCCTTTCTCAACTCTTTTTGGTTCATCATTTTCATCCAGATTCTTTCATTTCTTCATCCAGATTCAGCTTCATTCCATTTGGGGCAGCAGAGTGAAAGATGCATAGTTGTGACAGACAGGGTTTCTTTCGCTTTCCAAGGTTGAAATCAAGGTGTGCATTCTTTTTATATATGGGATAGGATGGTAAATTCCACCACCACCCCAGCTACAAACTTTACACTAATCAAAGTGACATATTACTTATTCTTCCATGCTTTCTCATTTCTGATTTTAATCAAGTATTTGTTGGTAGGGTGACACAAAGAGTTCAAATTGCATGATAAAGTGATGCCTGTGAGTGGCAGATTTTGGTTATAGAAAGGGATTCTGCCTTGAATGTCATCTTCTGAAACAATCTCCAAATTTATGCTCTGCAATTCAAGCCCAAGCTTGAAATATATATATCTGCAAATCCAGCTTTGAATTTGATTTTTCACTTTAACTTTAGCTCTGGAATTAAATAACTATTATTTTCTTCCTCTGAGCATATATTTGAGAAATTCCAATTTCTCAAATATGTACTCAATTGGTTCTTCAACTTAAAATGTTGCCAAAAATATTTTAATCTTTATTATTGTGGTAGTGATTATATTTTATGTTTCCTGTGCAAACAAAACCCCTGCAATGAAATATAAACATATATTTAATTAAATAATAGAATTAAAGCACTTGCATCTTATTAAGAGCTATAAAAAATTGACCATAGGAGGAGTAATATGATATAAAGGTAAATTGGATATGGTCTTTACTCAAAAACTCACACATATAATGGATTTTAGGAAGACCTGGCTAACAATAAAATAAAATGGCAGGATTCTCATAGATTTCATATTTCTTATATCTCTCAATACCTAATACCCCTTTCACAGCAGAGGGCTTCCTTGGTGAAGACTGAAAAAGGGAATGTTTTCTTCAAAAGTCCACCAGGGCAATGAGAAAAAGATTGCTGCCCCCGTGACATAATGTCTGCCCTAATGAGCCCAAGCAACTGAAGCATGGACATAAGTACAGCAGTGCATTCCTTTGGTATCTTGGGACTGAAATCAGAAGCTGCCTCCAAAAGAAGACAGACCATCAAGGAAGAAATGGAAGTTGCTTTCTTAGGTAGAAAACATTGATGATTGTTCTTAGGGAAACATGATGGAAGTTATTTCTGATGTGTGCGTTAAATTTCAATTAAAATCAAAGTTCTAAATGAATTACCCACATCTGTAACCTGTTAATTTTAGGCAAGCAAATAATGCAGTTTCATTTAAGATGAAATTCTCATCTTAAATGAGAATTTCATCCAAATCATCCAAATCTCTAGTTGCAAATCTTATAAATGTTGAATGGGTGAAATAAGTTGGTAAGTAACAGGAACATAATAGAAAATATGAATGCTAAGATGTCTGGTAGATATCTTACACTCTATATGCAACATAATAAAAATCCAAAACATGTTTACAAATTTCTTGGAGTAAAATACCACAATGAAAAAAGTGGTATGAAAGAAAGATTTTTAAAACCTACAAAGCAGTCGGTGTCTTTGGGTCCGGAACAGCCTCCTGCACATTCTCGATGGCAACATTCGCTGACAGAACGTCCATAGCATCGCCCATCACACTGCTCCGCACACACCACTTTTGTTACTAGAGGGGGCAGACAGATCAGAGGAGAAATCAGGAAACATGGCCTACGCTGCAAATGGACTGAGAAAACTCAAAGCGGCAAGAACTGATGAGGCGCTCTTCCACAGATACCAATTGGTTGATGACCTGGCAGAAAAAAAGGGTGAACACTAAAGCAAATATCTTCAACTAAATTGGGAGAAAATGTAGATATGGGGATCTAATCAAGCTGCTTACCATTACCACTGGAGTTCATGGAGGAGTTCATTAAAATGATAATTAAATGCATTTATTTATCTTATATATTGCCATATTACATATAGAGTGGTGGTGCTGAAATGAAGGTATTAGATATCTTCTAATCTAATCACTAATATATAGACACTTGTGGGAATGGACCATCTTTTCCAGCATTTATATCAGAGAGAGGTAGACTTTTACTTCTGATATTTTTTTTTAAAAAGTGACAAACAATATACAAAAGAAAATTAAAAAGAAAGTTCATTTAAAAACATTGTTTTTTTAAAAAAACAAGTTTTATTGGGTTTTTTTCTTTTCTCCTCGCCCACCTTCACCCACGTCTTCCTTTTTTTTTTTTTTTTTTGAACAGAGTTGGTCGTTTCTTATCTTTTACAATTAGTCAAATTCCAATACATTTTACTCAATTACAATTTTTATCAATATCATCTTCCCCACTTTCCTTTTTTTTTTAATATACCTCAGTATTTCTATACTTGCATATATAAACATGTTCTTCATTATCCCTAAATTCCAACTTTGCTAATTGTACATATTTGTCCTCTTTTATTCTTTAACAATTCATTCTTTTTCCTAATATATTTATATTTGTTTGTTCTTCCAGTTCATCTTCTTTTTTGTTGTACAGCAATCTTTCTCCTCAAACCTAGCCTCTCCCTCTTCTCCTTCCAACTTTCTTTCCCCACCTTCTTCTTCTCTTTCTACTTCCCCTTCCCTTCTCCTTCTCCTCCTCTCTTCCCCGTCTTACCTTCTCTCCTACTCTGCTTTCCCTTCCCTTCCTTCCTTCTTACTCTTCCATCCCTCTCTCTCCTTCCTGCTCCCCTCCAATTCCTTCATCTCTCTCTATTGCTGTATTCATTTTCAATTTAATGTTTTCCATTGTGGAGTTCAGGCAGCCCCAATCCCTTATCTTTTTAATTATTAACAATATATTTCATCTTATTCTCTTTTTTCCTTCAAATCTTTACTCAAACACTTTTCTAATCTCTTATCTTTTTTACTTTTACCAATATATTTTTTCTGCTTTACTTCTTGCAAGTATAACTTTTAAAGCCCCAGCCCTGTGGAATGAACTGCCCCCGGAAATACGTAAGATCTCCGACCTCTGGGTGTTTCGCTGCGCACTAAAGACCCTGTTGTTCCGCCAGGCCGGGCTATTAATATAACGATTTTAATTGGGGTATTTTAAATTTCTGGGATTTTAATTGGAGCCTAATTATTTAATGATTTTAAATTTTAATTGTTGTTTTGTTCTGTGTTTTTAATAGGCTGTACACTGCCCTGAGTCCTTCGGGAGAAGGGCGGTATAGAAATAAAATTATTATTATTATTAAATCATTTTTATCATTTCAATTTCATTCAGTTTTACATCCAATTTCAATCATTAAATATATTTCTCAAAACATTTTAACAATATATTTCCACTTATTCAAATATATATTTGTAAAGCGCATCTTAATCCTTTCTCATTTTACCCAATCCAATTAGTTCTTAAAATATTCTTAATTTGTCTTCTTTTCTCTTTTTAATTATGTTTCAAATATATAGTTTGGAATATTCCAAATATTACATTTCCCTCAACTGGTTTATTTATATTGTTAAAACTTATCATTCTGTAAACCTCCAATATTACTGAGCATGTGACATTTATTACAATTTTCCTTTTGTTTCTACTTTTCTTTTCCTTTTTTGTATCTTTTCATTACTAATATTTTGTATCTTAAAATCATGAAATCTTTGCCCTTTATTTCCCATTATTTTCCATCTCTTTTCCCTCTTTCTTATATTTCCACTGTAAATCCCAGTGTAATCATTTATATTTTTAATATTTTTTCTTCTCCTCCACCCTCTTTTCCTTCTTTGCTTTTTGTTTTCCCCTTTTCTTCCTTTCTTTTGTATTTTAAAGTTCTGCACTCTCCTATTCTGCCCTCTATTTCCCATTGTTTCTCCTTTCTCTTTCCTTTTTTGTGTCTTTTCATTGTTAATCCTAGTATGCTTATTTTGTATTTTAAAATCATAAACTCTTTTATTTTGTCCTTTATTTCTTATTATTTTCCATCTCTTTTCCCTCTTTCTTATCTTCCACTGTTAATCTCAGTGTTTAAGTTTTTTGTATTTTCCTTGTTTCACCTTCTTTTCTTTCTTTGTTTCTTTTCTTTTTATCCACATTTAATATTACAATTGTTTAATTTTCCATAGTCAGTCTCTTTGTCTTTGTCTTCTTCATTATCCATCTCTCTTTCTTGTTTCTCGTTAGTCATTTCCTTTTCATCTTCAGTGAATTTTAGTTCTATCTTTGCCTCCTCAGATTTCAATTGTCCATGCAAATTTATAATCATTTCTTTTATTTCCAAACACATCATCTTTATCAGTTCATTAAGTTCCTGTTCCATTTTATTCTTTCTGGATTGAATTATTCCAGTTTTAAATCGCATTAAGGTCCTTCTTTTATAATCATCAAAGTCTGTCCTCTTGTAGGCAAAACGTACCTCCTTAGTTCTCACCAGTTATCTTTTTTAAAAAGTTCAAGGTTTTAAAAATAAAACAATTCCATGTCATGCTCTTCCTTCTCCTGCAGATGTCTCTCTATAATCCACAGTTCCACTCATCTAATTAACAAATCACCATTTTATTTGTAATCCACATCCGTGTTTACCGAATCATAAAAGAGAAAAAATCCAGTTTTTACATCTTCTTTCATCTTTATATATCACCCATCAGTTTATAATCCAATCCAAACTGAATCCAAATTCCAGATTTACATTTCCATTTGTCAATCACTTTTAATTCTTTATTAGGGTTCTTCTATGGCATGCTTGTCATTCTCACTTTCTCTTTCCATCCGTCATCTCCCCCCCGCCGCTATTTTAATTTTTTTTTAATTTTTTTTTTAATTTTTGATTTATGTGCCGCCCTTTTCCGGAGACTCAGGGCGGCTTACAATGCGCTAAGCAATAGCAATAAGCAATATTTATACAAAGTCAGCTTATTGCCCCCACAACTGGGTCCTCAATTTACCTACCTTAGAAAGGATGGAAGGCTGAGTCAACCTTGAGCCTTGGCGAGATTCGAACCTGCAGTAATTGCAGGCAGCTGGTCTTAATAACCAGCTTAATAACAGGGTGCCTTAGACCACTGTACTACCAAGGCTCTTTTTCATTCAGTTTAGCCTCAATTTATTTAGCCTCAATTTCCACGCCAAGGTAATTTTAGTAATAGTTTAGTAGTTAAACGTATTTAGAATTTTCCTTTTATTGTCTGTGGGTTAGCCTATCACTCACCCAGCACCAGCACTCTGTCCAAATCTTCCCTCCTGTACATTGCTTGCTCCAGAGGTTCCAGCTTCATGGCGATTCACTCTGATCGCCACCCCCCATCACCGGCTCGGAGAGAGTTTCTTGGGCTATCCAAGGAACTTGCCTGTCCCTCTTTAGACACCAAGCTGCCTCTCTTTCTTCGCTGTCCCTACAGGACAGCTTCGATCCAAAGACCCCCCAGTGACGGTTTGTCTGGCTGGATTTTGCTGAGCTTGTCTGAACCCGACATTTTTCCAGCCACTAACGCCACGCTGCTTCTGGATTCATTTAAAAACATTGTTGAAAGTTACTTTCTTACAAACTGTTATCTTCTCTGCCATTGCTACTGCATTTGGTCCTAAGCCCAGGGTCAAAGTCCTAAGCCAGAGCAAGCAAGATCTGAAGTTTCCAAGATGAGAAGCAGATTGATTCAAAAGAAAGGATGATAATCTATTTGTTTCTTGATCTGTTATTTCTTTGGATATTTAAATTGAAATTGCATTTGTATCGAACTAATTAATTAACTAATTATCTCCTTTATGGATTACTGCCTTGTCGTGGCAAAGGGGCTTGCGTAGCTCAATAAAGCTATGAGCTATGCTGTGCAGAGACACCCAAGACACTGGGAATGATTGAGGGCAAAAGAAGAATGGGACGACAGAGAATGAGGAGGCTGGATGGAGTCACTGAAGCAGTCATTGAAGCAGTAGGCATGAGCTTAAATGGACTCCAGAGGATGGTAGAGGGCAGGAAGGCCTGAAGGAATGTTGTCCATGAGGTTGTGATGGGTCGAACATGACTTCGCAACTAACAACAACAAATTAAGTGAAAGCAAATAATATATCCCTGAAGATTTCCCCCCCAAATTACTGGGGAGATAGGAAGATATGCTCCAGGTCCAAGTCAAATCAGAATTTGTTAACACTTATTTTATTTATTTTATTTTATTAAATTTTTATACCGCCTTTCTCCTACTGGACTCAGGGCAGTGCACAGTCTAGAATAAAAAACATCCCAATAAAAAATTTAAAATTTAAAAGAATTAAACAAATTTTGGCCCAAAATTTAAAATCTCCCGAGTAAAAACCATTTACAATTAAAAATATCTAAGGGCGGGGGGTTACGCCAGCCCAGCTTGATGAAATAGAAAAGTTTTGAGGGCATGGCGAAAAGCACGGAGATCTGGTATCGTACGTATCTCCGGGGGCAGGTCGTTCCAGAGGGCAGGTGCTGCCACAGAGAAGCCCTCCCCCTGGGGGTCATCAGCCAACATTGCCTGGCTGACGGCACCCTGAGGAGTCCCTCTCTGTGGGAGCGAACTGGCCGGTGGGAGGCTATCGGTGGCAGAAGGCGGTCCCGTAAGTACCCAGGCCCTATGCCATGGAGCACTTTAAAGGTGGTAACCAACACCTTGAAGCGCACCCGGAAGACCACCGGAAGCCAATGCAGCTTGCGCAGGAGGGGTGTCACATGGGAGCGCACCATCGCTCCCATAATCCCCTGCGCGGCCGCATTCTGCACCAGTTGGAGCCTCCGGGTGTTCCTCAAGGGGGGCCCCATGTAGAGAGCCAGAACAACACTGAGCCAGAAATAAAGTGTTCAAGAATAAAATGATTCCAAATTTCTCCTCAATTTTTGTGTTGGTTTTAACCTTGTCTTGCATTCAGTGTAAAACTAGTGAATTATAAATGATCCATTTTTACTTTTTATTGTAGAATTATGTTTAGATAATTAAGCACAGGCTATTTGGTATGTTATTTTACTCCTTTACCTTTTGTAAAAAGAATTAAATTTCGTTTTGTTCAAGGTAGTGTCTTTCTTTATTCTGGCCCCCATCCTGAATTTAGAATTTTGTCTGGAACTGTACAATCATAAAGCCTCAAAAAAAGAGAGCTAGTAATTATAGACCAGACTTCAATTTAATGTTTTAGTTCTGAGTTGTGTTTGATATAACTACACCCGTAAGGCTAGACTTCTTAGTTAAGTTCTCTGTGGTCAGATTGTTCTATATTCATTGCAACCTCTCATTTGCAAGACATAAAATGAAAACGAGTTCAATTTTATGCTCATTTATTTAGAAGAATGGTTTTAGTAAAACTTGCTTTTTGACAAACAAGTTTAAGGCTGGTAAGAGGCTGTAAATCCTCTGGACAGACCTTGTATCTCTTCTGTGATTCAATCAGCATTTTTGTTACATAGTTTAATACATTATACTAGATATTGATTCACATCAGATAAAATCCCAGAAAAGTATATTTCAGTTATATGTTTTATGACATTCAAAAGATATAATTGGCTTTTATGACAGAGTGATAAATATAAAGATAGGGATTCAGATTAAGGTACAGTGAGCAAATACCATTAGGGAAGTAAACATGAGAGTTAAATTCACACTGATACAATTTTAAATATTAAAAATGGAAGACAGAGACATATACAATAACAGGTAATAATGTTTAACTGCAACAAAGCTTTTTAAATAACTCCTCTCACAGAAATGCATTTTGAATAAAATTCAGAGTCAAATTTCATACTTTTTGTAATCTATGTATTGCTATAGGTTTACAAGATTACAGAACTAGGAGCATTCTTAGTAAAAATTCTCATTAATGTTTGTATTAATGAATTGATATGAATTATTTCCTCTTATTCTGTAAGGGTTTTTATTAAGAAACAGGTTTTGATTCCTGTGCATTTAAAATTGAAGTACGACAGGAAGTCCCTGGTGGATCTGCAGCTAAAATGATGCCCATGCGTAGCACATAAAAACAGGCAGAGTTTCAATCGCACTATTACTGCCACCATCTTGACTTTGTTAGCACTCTGAGAACATCCTTGGAAAGTTCTCTCTTCCTTGTTTTGAAATTCAGATAAAAATGGCTATACCTAAGAATAAGTTTTTCACTCATCTTCTTTGCAAGAGTTCCACCTATTTAATCCTTGCTGCTTGGCATCAATTGGCAGAGTTCTTCTCAATGTGAAAGTGTCTGAGAACGTTAAGATAGATCATTAGCATGACCAACTACTGTAATTTACACATTTTTGACTAACCTTTGGGCCAGAACAAGTTAAAAGAAATCACCTACATCTGGATCCGTCTTGATTCTTCCAGTTATTTTGTTAATATCTGAGAATTGTCACAGCAATAGTAATGCTAAACTCACTGAGGCCACTTTCAACATTCTGCTTTGGCTTTTCTATGGGAGCATTCTGTGGTAGAATGAATTACTGTTACTCTAATAAACCTTCTGTCCCTAAAATAACTAAATCTACTTTCTGTATTTTGACATTTTTAATAATCACACAAATCTTCTCCTGCTACCTGGGTCCTACTTATGTGTACTTTGTGCATAGAATGCAAGAATAAAGTGTTTGCACATGCTTTCTGGTTATTGGAAAATTTCACCATTTTGTTCTCTGTTTTACTTGTTCTTTATTTATCTGTTTCCCCCCTTATTCATATTGTATTTTATTTTCTCAGTTATATTGTGAGTCACCCAGAGTCTTTTTGGAGTCAAGTGGTGCCTAAATGGAAATAATAACAACTCCATAGTAACTCATTACTCAGAATTGCTTTCTTTCTCTCTATATATATATATTTACACACATGCATGCATCCCTCTAAATCTTTCTGTTATAAATTAGTTGAGTTTTCCTTGTGCTTTAATGAGCACACAACAATCACAGGAGCCCTGCTGATGCACATAATGGGTCAGATCATAACTACTAGAAATAACTTATTTGGTATTTAAATTTGTCTATTCTCCAGTAGCATGGGAACAGCAGACAATGAAAACTGATGCCTCTTGGCCTGCCTTCTCACTGGTTTCCAGGGACATTTATGAAAGTGGTAGGAATAGTTGGATTACTTAGTTGGGTTACACAGTTGCATGTAATTAATCATTGTAAATGTTTCCTTTAACATTCTCTGAATGAACTATTACATAGAATTATAAATCTACTAAGTGGGAGAGAAATGGAAAATAGCTGAAATCAATAAGAGGAACATGTAAAAGTTATTAGTGTAACACCAGGATTTTAATTAAAGATGTTGATCTTTAGTTAAAATGCTAAGCTCACATAATTGATCTAGAGATATTGTTCAGTTTTTTGCTCATATGCATCTTATGGAAATATATGTAATTATTTTTTTCTTTGGATAGTCTTTTATTTTTTCATATTACATATTATTTATTTATCCATCCTTCAATTTGATTAGGCATTTTCAACTACTTGGGGTCTTCAGAACCACATGATCCTTGGCTTTTAAGGAACTGATAGGATAGTAACCAACTAACTAACTAACTAACTAACTAACTAACTAACTAACTAACTAACTAACTAAATATTTTCACCACAAAGCCTTAAGGAAATTGCCAGGTTAGTTCCCAACTTCAGGGATCTAAAATACTCATCTCAAAGAAAAGAGAGACACACATTATAAATGCACTGAATCGTTTTCCAATTTAAAATGCAAGGCTGGGAAATATTCCTAATTCATTACTGAATTCACAAATGCTTCTACAATATCATCTGAAATGATTAGTGGTCCGTTTTCCCCACAAAATGTATGACATTTGCTCTCCAGAAATTAATGTGGTCATTAAGTGTATTCCCCCTATTGACTTTGCTTGCCAGAAGCCAACAAATTCAATGGGGGGGGGGGAATAAAAAGTTACAAATGTTGATCACATGATCATGGGATTCTGCAATCATCATGAATACATGACAGTTGCTAAGTACCTGAATTTTACTCATGTGACCATGGGGATGCTGTGTTGGTTGTAAGTGTGAGAACTTGTTGAAAATAACTTTTCCACTCTGGTTGTAACTTTGAATGGTCACTAAACAAGTGGCTGTAAGTCGAGGGCGATCTGTATTACTATTTGTCAATTGATTCAGGAATTGTTACAGTCTTATTTGAAATTTGGGAATATGGGAAAAGATCTTGAAAAATGAACTAATTCAGAAAATTAATTTGTAGTCACTGAGTAAATCAATAACCACCTCTTTTCTTTGTATCAAGAAGATATTTCTTTATATCAAAACTCAAAGTTAGGGTCAACGTTTCTGCCTATGCTGCCAAGATTTCCCTTTTTTCTTCTTCACATTTTTTAGCTGAACATTTATTTAGTATATATATTAAGCTGAAACCTTTAAATATTTTGTATGTTTGTTTTGTATGTATGCCAACCACTCCTTTCCTTTTATCCACCAGGTTTTCAGCATTTGTGTCTGTAACCATGAAGATCTCAGCGATCCTATATTATTCGTGTTAGTAAGGATTTGAATTTACAGTGATCCCAGTAAGATGGATTTCTAATGTCAGCAATCATACATGTATACATTTTCATAGTGCAACCAATATGATGATATCTAGGGGCAACACAAATACCATACATTATTTTGAGATCTTGCTGCTCTCTGTGCACTTTCTAGTTGTGGGGAACTTTCTATGACTCCTGAGCAGACTGTTTGACTTTGGTAACAGTCCTTGAAAAGCAGGTAGAAAGATTGTGGGATAGTTTTTATTTCCATTCCTTTCTCATTAAAAAAAGGTTAAAGTTTGAATGTATAGCACAGTCTGTTTTACTATTTCAGGACTGTTCTGCTTATTTCCATATCATAGTAAGGTTATGTCAATGAGAAAAAAAAACTTTCATAACATAATTATTTGATAAAAATTTCAATAATATCAACACCATGATTTCTGGTTTGTCTTAATGTTTTCTTCTCACTTTAAAATTATTTCTTATTCAAATATACTTACAACTCTGGCACTGATCCGCTGAAGGTCCCCAACATCGATTTCCACAGGATTTGTGACACTGTCCACCTTTAGAAAGAATAGAACAAAATTAAGAGATTATTAATAGCCTATTTTCTTCAGTGCCCTTAAGCTTCATCTCAGAACAACTCTAGGTAATACTAGGTCAGTGATGGCTAACCTTTTTGCCATTGCGTGCCAGGAGGGGGGTGGGGGGATTGTGCGTGCAGATGCCCACACCCATAATTCTTTGCGCCCTGCCCCCATGCATGCACGCACGACCCACCCCGCTCCACCCCGCTCCTGGCACCCAATGGCCCAGTAGTTTTTTTCTCTCACCTGGCTCCAGAGCCTCTCTAGGAGTCTGGGGAGGGCAAAAACGGCCTTCCCCACCCCCGCAGAGGCCCTCCAGAGGCTAGAAACAGCCAACTTCTGGTGGGCCCAGAAGGCCCGAAAAGCGTGCTGGAGCTGAGCTCACGTGGCCACTGATATGGCTATGCGTGCCACAGGTGGCACATGTGCCATAGGTTCGCCATCACGGTACTAGGTAATCTAGTATGGAAATGTTATGAGATCATTAATGTTTTCCCACTGATGTAATATAGGGAAGAAAAAGGGTTCCTTGGAAAATCTGCCATGTTTCCTATATATGGATTAAAGGTAATTTATGATAGAACTATGGATCCTATTTGCACCATTTTGTCTTAGACGATTAATGTAGAAATGTAAATGCCTAATTATTAAAATCTTTTTCCAACTCTATATTTGTGTAGGATGTCCAAGCAATAAGAAAAAAGGTAAAGCAGAGAGAAGAAATTAACAGGTCAAAAGAAAAGTAAAAGCCTAAAATCTGTAATCCAAAATTCACAGTTGAGCATCAGTATACCAACAGACATCTGCCTTGACACCTTCCAGGGATGTGCCTCCTGGATTTTATTTTATTTAGTATGGGTTTTTTTTTAATTACAGTCATATACATGGGAGACCAAATTGCTAGATAAAAGCACCAGTCCAAAGCAACATGTTTATTTTCTTCTTTTTTTTATTGAAAAAGTTTTTCAAATACAGATTTTCCCCCACTTTTCCCCCCTCCTCCCTAACCCCCCTCCCCCTCCCCTCCCCCCATGGCTTCTCCAAAATAAAATCCAAAATGATATCAAATTATATAGTACTTTACCATCCTTTTACACCACCCCTCATATGCTAACCATTTCTTTTCTAACATTATTATTGTATCCCCCCTATACTATACATTTCAAAGCAACCTTCAGCTATATAACTATATGATAAATCCTAATTTGACATTTATTCAACTCATAATCTACCCATTTCGTCCACCCCCATACATCTATCTCTTAATTCAAATCTTTTATGTATATTTATATCTAAACATAACATCCCTTTTCCTAAACTAAACAATCAGTAACCTAACCCATCTCCACCCATTTTCCTACAGGTCTACCATACATATTATTTTTAATATCTTTGTTCTTCTGCCCACATCACACAACTAAAAAATATTTCCATATATAAATAAAATGCTCAAATGACTTTAAATTTGTAATCCATATAGTATCTTCTGTAATGTCTTTCAACTGGATTATTAATTCCAGCACCCATGTTAGGGTAACATCAGGTTCAGCTTCCAACAGGATATTCAGTCTTCCATTACCATCTGCCCCCATCAATAATAAGTATTTTCGTATATAAAAAACCACCCGAGTGACTTTATATTCATATTCCATGTAGTATCTTCTGTAGTGTCTTTTGTCTAGATTATTAATTCCAACCACCACATTGGGGTAACAACCAGATCTTCTGCATGCCCCAATCCCATAGTTCTCTAGCCTTATAACTCAGCATATACGTAATCCATTTTTCAAATAGTCCAAAATAGAAAGTTCCAATCCACTCAATCAGAGGCCATCTTCCACATCCCAAAAGCACCAGCACTGCAGAGATCTGTTATTCTTCTCAAAATAGTATAAGTCAATAATTTGCCTCATCTATATTTTCATGTATCAACCATCTATAAATCCCGCTTATTATATTTAATCGTCTCTTAAGTAACTGGCATTAGACTGTTGTTTAGTTTAAAATTTTTTAGTTTTGTAGGACCTGCTTCTTCTTTTCTTAACTTTTTGTGGTTTAGATCTCCATCCTAGTTGCCTTTCTAGGACTTGTATATCAGCTGATTGAGTTCCATGCTGGTCTGTAACTTGATAAGACATCACATTAAAATCCAAAGCCGCCTCTCTTATATTTATAGGTAATCCAGCTATAACCTCTGAAGGAGAATCCAAAAGCGGCTCGTCCAAAAGGGTCTCTGTAACTTGTTGTTTTTCCATTACCTCCATCTCCATCTGCTTAGCCTGAGTTTCAATCTCTTGTTCATTTTGCTTTTCTTTATTCCCCTCCTGTGTTCCTAACACTGATGGCATACGTGAAGATGTTGGATCCATTTTAAGAACCTTGTAGTAAAATTCTTCCGCTTTTTCAACCGTATTTATTTGATATCTTTCTCCTTGGTATCTCAATATTTTACCAACTGGAGCATCCCACCTAAATGGGATATTTTGTTTCTTTAGCTCAGTCACCAAAAATCCAAATTCCTTTCTATCTTTTAACATCTTGGGCGGCAGCTCTTTATATATCCAAATCTTCCTTCCGTTCATTTCTAGAGTGGAGTTAAAAGACTTTTGCACAATATCATTTCTTATTCCTTTATCAGTAAAGTAAATCACCACATCTCTAGGCAACTGCTTTTACTTTGCCACCCAAGAATTTACTCTGTAGGCCTTATCAATCTTACAGGATACCTCTTCAGGACTAACCTTTAAAATCACAGCCAGAACTTCAGCAGACATCTTTCTCAAATCATCTCTGTTATTTTCCTGTAGTCCCCTCATTCTGACCACAAATTCCATGGACCTGTATTGCATCATTGTAACTTCTTTTTCAATCCTTTGTTTTATATTATCTGCATTGTAAGTCTTGTGATCAGCTTCCTTCATTTTAGACTCTAGTTCTAAGTTGGTATCTTTATCCATCTTTATAACTATTTCTGAAAAGGTTTCCAAAGCTGTTACAATCTGTTGTTTCAGATTAGCATACTTTCGTTGTACCAACTCTTTAATTTCCTGCCTACATTTTTCAAGATTCTGGTTCACAATCTCATCATGTCTTGCCATCTCCTCCAAAACAAATTCCTTTAGGTCTTTAAAACCATTCTCCTGGATCTGCAAGCTTAAAACTTGTTCATATGACTTGTAAATGGGGAAGCCCCCCCCCCACAGCTTGGTTGTCTGGCTTTGTCAGTTTTAACACCATCCTGCCACACAGACAAACTCTTTTTTTTAAAAAAAAAGACTTCTCTCCAAATGATATCAATATCAAGTCTCTAAGAAGGAAGAAACATAAAGTGGAAATTTTTCTCTTCAATTCTAACCAGCGCTATTATTTCAGATACTTTGTAATGTATTGAACTATTCAGGTGGAAGGACTTTCACTTTCAGCTATCTTCTTCTCAAGCCTCAGCCAGTCGCCATTTTAAACTTTCTTTCTTCGCTTTTAAAATCACTCATAGAATTGTTAGAAATACTTGCGATTTAGGGTCCCAAATCCGGGTTTCATCCTGTTTATTCAGGCAATCTATTAATTTTCGTTGATTGGATTGGTCCCATCGCCTGGCTCTGCAAAAAGCAGAGTTCTCCCGAAGCCCGGAGCAGCGGCGAGCTAAATAGGGAGCCTCATCCTGCTTCGTCCCCAAGAGTAAAACAAGAACTCTGGGGACTTCGCAGAGGGCTCTACCTGCCCTCGCCAGCTCTATCTCACATTTCCTTAAGGAAATGGAGTTTTTCAAGCCACCTTTCAGCTGTGAAGGCGGCTCTTTATGGGCGACGGGGCTGGCGGTCTCAAAAGACCGTCTAACGGCGACGGAAGCCAAACCGGAAGCCCCGCAACATGTTTATTTTCAACAATGCACCTAGGCTTCAGTTCTAGAGTAATTTTTCAGAAATAAAACTGGTGGAAAGTCCATTCAATTGTTGGGAATTGCAGAATCATAGTGTTGAAAGATGTCATTCAGGACATTGAATCTAACTACGTGCTCAGTACAGGAGCCCAAATTACATCTCCTAGTTGGCCATCTAGCCTTGCTTTGATTCAGTGAAGAGGATCCTACCATATCTTTGGATAATTGGTCCCACTGTAAAACTGCTTTTCCTTAATGGATGCTTATTCTTATATGTAACCTGAATTTATCTTTGCCAGAAACCATTGTGCAGTGACAGCAGAGAGACATCTCTGACAGAACTGATTAATGTTTGATAGCAAGACCAACCACAGTTTAATACACACAGCAAGTAGTTGCTTGTAAGGTCAGACTGAAACATCTTGTCTGCAATGCCACTTTCTGGCAGCTCATGTTAAGGACCAAATTTCTTTTCTTCATGCAGTTAAATCAAGTAACTGGTCCTGTCCCAGCCAATATTTTGAGGAGAAAGTTACATTCCTATATTTCTATGCAAAATAATAGAGACTTGTTTATCTCTTTAAAATTATGTTTGCTGATTAAACTTGTATATTTGTTCATTTGTTGATGCTCCTCATTGTACTGGCTTGCTTCTGCATGCCTGCCGAATTTCAGAATTGACATAATATAATTTTTTTCCCCTGCTTTCTTTTTGGTCCACCCTAAGTTCCATAAATGATGAAGAAAGCAAATTTTCTGAGAAGGAGAGACATGAGTTTCCATGAATTTTTGGCCAGGAGATCAAACAAGAATTCTGGGATAAAGTGAAAAATTGACTCAGATTTCCAAATATGGATCCTAAACTTTGGCTTTTTTCCTTTTCTTAAAAGAGACACAGATGATAATATTTAACATGTAAAATAGCTTTGAAACTGTTTTGGTATGAATTACCCTTCTTAATACTACAACTAAGTATAAATATTTCTCCTCTATAAAGAAGTACACTTGAAGAAGTACACACGGTCATGGAGAATATATACTCGTATATATTCATTTGCCTTCATTCATAATATATACTCAACCAAATGTCATCACT